ACTGTCCCGCAGCCATCGCAGTTTGACAGACACGTGTTAGCCAGCACATGCCTTGTTTGCCTAATGCCTTGAGCATCTCAGGGTGGATTTCGTCAATTCCTATAACGTCTACCTGTCTTTTTATACGCCTACGAATTCCTTGTTCACCCTCGGGGACCCTCGATCAGCGTTGAACTGCTGGCAGAATTTCCAGTGCGATATGCACCTTTGTCTTGCGACTAGCGAGTGCGGGAGTTCTCTTTTGTGGTAGGCCGACGTTTCTGCTCCTTTGTGAGAAGCGAGCATTCCCTTATTTGCTCGGCCCATGTTTCCTGTCCTTTCTTGAAGACGAGTGTTTGCGATTTTGCTCCTCTCACGTCAGGTGGTCCTATTGCCTCCGCTTTGCTACAACCGGTAGTCGCTGACCGTTGTAATTGTGAACTTCAAAAGCTGATTACAGTTGTACTAGGCAATATGTCTCGCTATTAAACTTTCTGAACATAAGAACACCATATAAATTCCAGCCACCGAAATCATTTGCAATTTTACTCATTTACTCATTTTACTCATTTCGTAAAAATAATGGTTTATACGGTGATGCCGCTCGGTCAAATATTAAAAAAAACCAGAATAGGCCCGAAAAATCTGATACCTTATACTTGAAAAGATACATACGTAACTTAATTACGTTGCCATTTTGCATTTCCCTATCTCTATTTACGTGTACATTTTATAATCCTATGCAAACAAGTGTAGTCACTGAACAAAACTGTGACCTCATATTGAAAGAACACCGATGATGCTAAAGGTTAACAAATGAACAATTAGGTATATCGAATAAAATATTCAATTTCCTTGTAATATTTTTAACCGGGTACTGATTGATATTTGCAATCGTCATGCTTCCAAATGGTGAAGGAAGTCAAAATATTATTTGGGTGCGTAGAACCTAGCGAATCTTCAGATACTTGTCAAGAAGATTATTTTCCAGCTAGCTGATTGCTTTTCTGTTAAATTTCAGCGGTATCCGAAATGGAAAATTTTTTCTGGTATGAATAACGCATCGATGCAGGCTTACTAAAATGCTGTGTAAAAATAATATCAGTCGATAGGCTAAGTTCTGTGTTGTGCTTAAATAAGTTTTCCAGTCACACACATTGAACGTAAGGGAGTTGGATTTTTTCCCTGTTCATACAAGATCTCATGACTGAGATGTGTACTTTAGTGGCTACAATGTGACCTGATCAACACCGTACCCGTCTGTAATTCAGCTGACAGATTCAGATGCATAAATTCACTAAGGGAAGTTTCCGGTATTTATACAACATGAGAGTTTTCATGCGACGGTGATGAAATTAAAAGATCAAAAATTTCTTTATTGTCTACTTATTGCAGGTATCACATTTTTCCGGCATTCTGGAAATTTTAAGAGTACTGTGTTGCCATAGCTCCGAATCAGTGTACTACTGTAGTACCGACGGTCACTTATGCTAGAAAGTAAAGTCATCGAGTTTCACTGAGTTAGTTGTTTCAGCTCATGTGATTGGCAACCACCAGTGTTCAATTTCGAAAAACCTCAGCCAAGGTTAAAATAATAGTAAATTTGTAGTCATGCAACAAGAGCAACGGCACTGATTGGCTGCTCTCATTTCTGCATATTAGGTAATCACTTTTAGATTTGCGTTCATCTTTGCGCGCCGATCGCAAATTGAAAATTTAATAGGCATAGAGGTGTGCCCTGCAAATCATATTAGCGTACTGTGTATTTTTGCATTTAGCCTGCTCGTATGAATGGTAGCTGAGTATGTTAGCAAAGTTATAAGTTTTTATACAACATGGAAACTTTTGTACAGTGTGACAACTCTAGATACTAGTTGACTAATGTTTATAAACTTTGCTCAAGTGGTTTTCTATTGTTTAGCTTATTATATTTCAAATTGATGCGGTCTTGCTTAGCTTGTTATTCTACGCTTGGCTTTCGAAAATTTTAAT